ATTTTTGATCATAGGTGGTTCATTTAATTCTTCAAATTGTTAATGACTTTGTCAATCAACTTGTTCTTAACAAATCTAAATCATTGTTTAGTGTTTCTGTATCAATATGGACTTTTAAAAAATTCAAGTCCTTTGGGGCTAGTTGGACCCCAGCCAAACACAAATAATTCTGCCTGTATTCATTTGATAGAAAGGTCCTTTATTTGAATTTAGGTTTCTCTAGAGACATATTAACAAGTTATCCATACCACCAGAGGGAGGAGGGTGACCTTTATCAGTGATTTTGACCAGATAGACAGATAATCTGCAGAGCTCCCCATGTGCTCGCCTAAGATTGTACTTTTCTGTACAACGTATCGTATGACTGTGTACAAAAACAAAATTACCTTATATTTGTGCATATGGTATACAACCTCTGCCAATTGTATAAAAACTTGATGGAACTGCAACACAGAACTTATATAAACTCTACACAGAGAGCTGGATTGGTGTGTATTCTCCAAAAAGTAGTTTTTCTAGGGTAAATCTAAAAAAGTATTTATTTGAATCCAGGTTTCTCTGGAGACATATTATTATGTTATAGATATCCTCAGAGGGTGGAGTGGGACATTTTGGAGTGATCTTGGCGATTTTAGCATGTCAATCTTGGTGGGGCAAACAAAACAAAAAAATGGGGGGATGCATGCCAGCAAAGCCACAACACTAAACAATACATTAATTGGACTATAACGGTGACAAGCGGTGCCCACAAACTTTTAGGGCCTACATAAAGCTGTCCCAAGAGCAAAGTCCCAACAGCAGTCCCAACACCTTACCACTGTTACACCTGGCTATCTGCAGAGCCTTGTCTGGCAGCGAAACAGTTCATTCAGTCTAATTTGCTGCCTTCAAAAAAACATAGCTGACATGGCTGACTTGCTTAAACAAATGTGGTTTCTACTGACAATTGAGATGTACAAACTATGGCATAATGGGACGACGAGCGGAATGAGAGGCAATCCGTAATTTCAATGAAGACATTAATGACCGAGCTAGGACGGACGTAGTCAATATAACTATTTGTTCAGCACTTTTGAAATGTACAGCGACAGAATTCAGAACATGGGCCGTTCTTACAGTATTCTCCCTGTACACCAAGTCAGAACCGTTTGATAAATAAAGGGGGCATATCAGCAGACAATGAAAGCTCTTACAATATTCAATGATGACATTTCTCTAAAACAGGGTATAGGCTACATGTGCACCACCAAGTCAGAACAGTAGGCTAAATTATGAGGGGAAAAGGGATCAAATTATTAGGGTGAGGCACATGGGCTACTAACAGCCTACCACACAGCATACACTTAGTATTACTTTCTTAGCTACAGTATACATATCTCCCTGGCATATTACATAATTTATGCAGCGGCATACAATACATTTTTGGACTCACCTTCTTGTGCTGTGCTCAATTGAACAAGGAGGTGGCGCGGCGGTCCTTCGTTGGAAAATGTTGTCATCAGCTTCATCATCAAAGTCTGGCATTCTCTGGATTTATGGTGCTTTCAAGACAACTGGTTACTTGAATATTAAAAAAAAATCAAGACGTTAGTGATCTTCAGGTTGGAGCTCTAGAAAGATTGCTTTGCAGTGCTTGCAGTTTGCCACTGATTCCTTTCAAACCACTCATTGTTGATTTTGTGATTTCCAACTTGTTGTGTAATGTTTATGTCCAATGGCCGATGAGCACCCGATACGTTTGATCTATAATTTATCTTCATAATTTATCTTCATATGACAAGGATTGAAAAGGATTTGCAAGTATATTGTCGACTTGATTCATGATGATGACTGCTAGCTAGCTAGCTAAGATTTTGAAAGTATGATGTTGACATGATCAGTCCAGTCAAAGCTACTGTATATATAACGTGATTTGACGTCATTTTATCTGTGGCCAATGACCTTGAGCCTTCTTGGATGGGTACTTCTAATGTAACTCCATGGCAGCACCCAAGGGGCTTGAATTTTCGAGCTCTCCCCATAGATTTTGCAGTACCCTAGTGTCCCCATGAGTGACAGAACACTGAGCCAATCAAGGCGCAACTTGAGAACATTACCAAACCCTACGCTCTGTATTTTCCGCTGGCTGCCCCACCACCACAGCACTTGCTAGGCTAAAACACCTGCATTTTGGAGCTGCCTTACTCAAGAAAGCAAAAAAGAGACCATGTTGGTATGCCGCTTCATTAACTCAATGATATATTATATATTTTTTTACATTGTTTGCAAACTAATAAGTGACATGTATTAATACCAAAATAACATGCAAAAAAGGCACCAAAAAATAAATAAAATAAAAATATATTCTTTGCTAAACAGGTGGGGCTCAAAACACCTACCCTGAATGACGGGTCGCCACTGCCTGATAGACAGATCACCTGCAGAGATGGAGCACCTTATGTACTATGGTTATAACCAGGTATGACTGTGATCAAAATCAAAACTAACTTAGATATATGCTTAGTTGCAGTCAAAACCGCTCATTGTCAGTGGTATAACTACTTGGTAGAAATGTAATACAGAAACCAGCTACCCTCTGAATGTACACGTGGGGATGTATTGGTGTTTTCTCCAAAAAATAGTTATTCTAGGGAATATGATATATAAATACCATCACTCCTATAACATCTTCCAACATTCTATATTTTCAACTTGTTATGGTATTTGTGTTGCTATAACATTTAGTTTGAAGTGACATTGCTTTTTGAAACATCCTGCCATAGGCTCTATACCAATCCCATTGATTCACTAGCAGCGATGCTAATGCTGGCTGTAGGGTAAATAAATAAATAAAACTATGTTTTTGGTCTCTCAGGATCAAAGGGTGAATCGCTTTTTGTCAATAAAATTAAGAACAGTATATTTCACATTTTGGTGTACCGCCCCTTTAAATTGCAGTTGTTTTTACCACATAAATATGACAAAATGTATATTTACTTCATAATTCTAAAAACTGAATGATACTATATACAATAAAATGATGGTAGATCAGCTTTAGTACTAATGTGGGTTGTACTTTGGAAAATAGCTGCACATTATTTAAGGGAAAAATAGATATTTTCATTTAAGAAAATATGCAGAATAAGTGTAATTCTGCTAAAATAACTGTCCGTTTTGGTTATATTTTTATTTCAGATAACATTATTTACATGTCTTATGATGTTTTCAAAATCATTTAGTTTATATTTTGCTGTGATTGTTGCTTTTTCCAATAGTTTCTTATCAGAGTCAAAATGACCCCAGTTGGTAATCCATGTATGTAAAATATGTTGGTAGTATAAGGGTTAATATACTGAACAAACATATAAATGCAACATGTAAAGTGTTGGTCCCATGTTTCATGAGCTGAAATAAAAGATCCCAGAAATGTTTAATACTTACAAAAATATTATTTCTGAGGAGAATTTCTGTCTAATAAAGCCTTTTTGTTGCGAAAAACTGATTCTGATTGGCTGGGCCTGGCTCCACAGTGGGTGGGCCTGGCTCCCAAGTGGGTGGGCCTATGCCCTCCCAGGCCCACCCATGGCTGCGCCCCTGCCATGTCCCGTGACATCCATAGATTACGCCTAATGAATTTACTTCAATTGAATGATTTCCTTATATGAACTGTAACTCAGCAAAATCTTAGAAATTGTTGCATGTTGTGTTTATATTTTTGTTCAATATATGAGTGTCAGTTGACGTGTGTTTTTAGTGTTCTTTTTTTAGGAATATAGTTAGTTTTTCTGAGGAACATATTTAGCATGGGGTTTCACACTGACACTACCTGGCATCTCCTATTTGTGTTACAGCCACAAATGACACATTCTCGCTGTTGTGACCGTTTTCGAAGTTCCACCTTGGTTAGGGTTTTGACTATGCAAAATGAGTTGATGTAGGTGTTAGATAATGCGAATATTTGTGTGAAAAATTAGAAACATGAAAAGGATTAAAATAATCCATCATTACTCGTGGTAAAATAAGAATAGGAAAAAAAAATCATATTTACAAATATATATACACAGCGTACAAAACATTAAGAGAACCTTCTTGACACAAACCGGTGCGCCTGACACCTACTACCATACCCCGTTCAAAGGCACTTAAATCATGCCCATTCACCCTCTGAATGGCACACATACACAATCCATGTCTCAAGGCTTAAAAATTATTCTTTAACCTGTCTCCTCCACTTCATCTACACTGATGGAAGGGGATTTAACAAGTGACATAAATAAGGAATCATAGCTTTCACCTGAATTCACCTGGTCAGTTATTTTTAATGTTTTGTACACTCAGTGTATATAAAAACATTCACATTTACATAATAAAACGTATATTTTACATTTTATTTGTATATACTGTAATTGTTCCTTCTCAAAACAGTGTGGCTCACAATTCTCAACAAAATCACAAGTACAAGTCACATTTCCCAACAATTCACACACAAAATATACCTTTGCTGTCTGGGTGTTAAACGAGTATAGTTTCGTGCAGAACATACCAGATTTTGACTGTTATTATCAGACTACATAATATTTTTAAAACGTTTAAAAAATTCAATTTCAATGCTACTTCATGTTCAAAACAAATCCCTGAGATGAAGGCTCAAAAATACTTCATTTTGGAACAACCTTTCATTCCAGTGCATAATAAATTGTTATCAAGCTTCAAAGGATAAAAACACAGACTAAAATTCATATTCGGAAGTATTTCAAAAGTTAGTCAACAGTAGTGCTACAATGTCTCTTGAACTGTGTCTTATAACTGAAACAGTACTCTCTCTCTATCTATATATATCTCTATATATTTATATGTCTCTTTCTTATGTGTCAGGGCATTTCTCTAGACAATATTCTATGTACAGTAATGGGTGCTTTTCCAAGAGTCCAATGTCAACATTGACATGTTACATCTTTCGTCCAGAGTGCATCATGTTTTCTGTTAATTAGCAGGATTGTTGTCCTGTTGTTGCCTTCTGTTCACAAGGAGCTTGAGATGAGCCTCTTTAACTTCATGAACTCCTCAGGTGTCAGTGGTACCAGAGAGGAAGATGAGGGGTCCACCATCAAAGCCATCCTAGGGTTATCCTCCCTTCCCTGGGATGTGTCTAGACTATAGGCTGGGGATGTGGGGCCTACATAATCCTGCTCCAGAGCCTGACTGCTGGGGTGGATCTTCAAGGGGATTGGCTGGGCTCTGTCCCGTAGATCCTGGGGGTGCATGTGGTTTGGGTGGTAGGGCCTCCTGGTGTTCTCCTGTTTCTCCCAGGGGTACAAGTCCCGGCAGGCTGGGTTATGGATGATGCTCCCTGACAGCTGAGGCTTGTAGCTGGAGATCTGGTAGGGCGCCATGGGATAGAGGTGACTGGAAGCAGGGGAGGTGGTGGTGGGGCTAGGCAGGTTCCTGTACCTCTCCAGACTCCTCTCCCTCAGATAACCAGAGCTCCTGTCCTGGTCTCTGTGAGGGCTTTGGAAGACCTGGTCAGCATGGTTCACTACGGTGGGGGAGGTGTCTGATCTGGTCCATGTCCTCTCCCTTGGCTCTGGGGTCTGGCCCAGGGTTGGACCTTGTGGTGTTGGACCCTGCAGGGATGGAGCCCCAGGCCGGGAACCAGCAGGCCTCCTTTAATCCAGTCATGGAGCAGCACCAGCGGGATCTGGATCTCCATCCTTCCTGTCTCTCTGGGGGGACTGGGCAGAGCGCAGCTGAGATTGAGAGGCCCCGGACTGTGCTTGGGGCTTTCCCCCCTCCACTCCTCCATGGGCCAATCTGGGTATTCTCTCTTCAGGGGTCTAGGGACGTGGACCATGGAGGGGGCGCTGGCCTTGCGACTCTGCAGTGGAGAGGGGACGGGGGACTCCGTCTTCATGCCTGGGCTGGAGGCTGGTGTCAGACTGTGGGAGGAACCGCCAGAGGAGGAGGAGGAAGTGAGGTCGATGACGTAGCCGTCTCTGGTCTCCAAGGGGTAGAGGTAGGATCTCTCCGGGGGTGACTTCCCCTCCGGCGTCTCACAGCCCTCGTCTTTAGCCATCCCCTTGGTGGGGTACAGGGGTGAGGGCATATTCAAGAACTTTGGGGATTTGTTGGAGGGAGGAGGGGTAAAGGACGAAGCAGGGTGACCGCCTGACTCTACGCAAGCTCTCTTGCGACTGAGGTTGAGTGGCTCAGTCCAGTCTGAGGAGCACTTGTACTGGTTGGCCAGGAGGCGCAAGCGCTCCAGAGGCTGCTTGGCCCTTTCTGTCTGCCCTTGAGGGGAGGGGAGATATGGGGGCTGGGGCTGGGGTCCGGGGTGGCTGCTGGGGTGGCTGCTGGGGGTCAGAGGTGGGTGGACATAGGGGGGCAGAGCTGGGTGGACGGGGTAGCCAGGGTGGTGATAGTTCTGACGGTAGTGTACATGCATAGGGATGATCCTCACTCTGGAGTCTATCAGGACGTTATGGGGGTTCTGAGAGGAGAAAATGCCAATAATGAGTCAGTCAATTCATTTAAATGTGTGTGTGTGCATGTGTGTCTGTGTGTGTATGGCTGCGTTTACAGAGGCAGCCCAATCCTTTGTTCCACTAATTTGTCTTTTGACTAATCAGATCAGCTCTGAAAAATATCTAATGTGAAAAGATATGATGTGATTGGTCAAAAGAACAATTAGTGGAAAAAAGTTCAGATTTTGGCTGCCTGTGTAAATGCAGCCTCTGTCTTCATCTGTGTATGACCACTTGTCAGTGTGTGTGTGTGTGTGTGTGTACATGCTTATGTGTGTGTGTGTGTGTGTGTGTGTATGTTTGCTTGTTAGTGTACCTGTTGCTGGGATGTCTGGAGATCGCCGTATGTCATGATACGTTTAGCTGTCCTGGGGCACTCATCCTCCTCACAGAGACTACTGTAATGTAAACGCTTCTGCTGGTGCTGTGGCAGGACCTCCATGTAGTTGTCTCCTTTTACGTGACACTCATATGCAAGAAGCAGCCTATGGCAACACAAAGGCCATTTTTAGAGACTGAACCAATTTAAATATACCACACATACACATCATTTACTTGCACACTTATACTGTATATTCAAAATATCTGTGTCAAAGACATGCAAAGACATGCAAGCACACAGCCATGTGCACAACCATACAAGTCTATGCACACATACACGCACGCACACATGCAAGCACAGACACGCATGTATATAAGATGTAGGATAAGTTTGCTTTGACATACTTCTCGTAGTGTCTACGGGTGCAGGTGGCTGCACTGGTGCTTCTGGGGTTTCCTCCCAAGATGTTGTATACTTGCTTCCACAGCTGCTGGGTTGTTACCTGGTAGAAATTCAGCTTGATTTTAACATTGAATCATTGTATACATGTAACAAAAACATACATGAAATGTGGCCCCATTACAATAGTTTTCAAACTTGTAAAAGAGGGTGATGAGGATAGTTGACTTTAAATACAACTTTACAGGATTTTCTGTTGAAACTCTGGGTTTGACTTGTAATATGAATTGCTCACACCTATTTTAATCGAAAACTGAAACATAATACATGTTGGAAATTATTGATGTTATTTTACCTGGAGATAGCCACCCAAGCTTTTCACAGTCTTGTACATCATGAACAGATCGACTAGAAACATAGAAAAATATACAGAATATCAGCTCTACATTCAGTCTGAGAGATCTCAACAATTAATGTGTGTGAGTGTGCGTGCATGTACTGTATCTGCGTGCATGTACTGTGTGTGTGTGCATGTACTGTGTGTGCGCGCGCATATGTTTCTCTGTGTACAGTATACTCACTCTGTTTGAAGCCCAGGTGTGGTATTCTCTCTATGGGTGTACCTCTCTTCTTCATGTACAGACAGAGGTCTTTGAGGAAGGTCTCCTCTCCCATCTCTTTCTCCTGTTCTGAGGGTCTCTCCTCCTGCACCTGGGCCATGATGTCTGCCTGTGAACACACACATGACGCAACCACACCATTACCACAACGTTTACACAACATATTGAAGAAGACACCAGCATCATGTTGTTCATGCATCATTGACGTTCATAGTTAACATTATTCCAAACAGTATTTTGCAATCTTTTACCACACATACACAGGTCCGGCTCTAGCCTTGTGGGGTCCCCAAGCAAGATTTTAAAGCACGTTTTCTGCAGTTCTACACATTTTGCCATGGGGTTTACAAGTTTAGATAACTGGCTAGACTAACTTACCAATCTAAAAATTGTTAGCTGAAATGGCTAATTGAGTGACTGTCAGTGACTGACAAAACAAGAGAAAAACTGCTGACGGACAACCACATTTCTAACTTACACCTTGGGTATTCTACTATTCTAACTCTCAACAGTAAGTTGAATCCCCGTCTGAGTTTGTCAGGCGTCAGTGTGTAGCGGTAGGACGGAGTCAGGCGCAGGACACAGAACTTAGTCAACTTAGTCAAGTAAATAAACATATCTTCCACGCAGGGAAGAAAATACCGACTCACAATGTCAATGACAACAAAACAACGAACAATCACGCACAACACCATGAGGGAACCAGAGGGTAAAATAGGGAAACAAATTATCGTAATTGGAACCAGGTGTGTGCAATATAGACAAAACAAGTAGAACACAGAAACATAGATCAGTGGCAGCTAGTACTCCGGTGACTACGAACGCCGAAGCCTGCCCGAGCAAGGAGGAGGAGCAGCCTCGGCTGAATTCGTGACAGAGTTCCTTTGGGTCGGGGCCCCCCGCTCATGTCGCTTATGCCTGTAGCCGGCTGTGCACATACACAACATATTTACAATGCACGTAAAACGTATTTGACCGTGGCTTGACAGCAAATCAAATACTGAGTTTGACTGATGAACGGACAAATAAAACACAAACTAATGTTGTTTGACTGATCACGGTTAAATCCGTTGTTTGACTGATCACACAACCATGTTTGTCCCTGCACGGTGGTACCAGTGTCAAAACACAGGCTGTCACAAACATGTCACTGAGCTGTCACTGAGCTGACTGTGGTCACGGCAACCATGACAATTATTTCAATTTCACTCTGTGTTCATGAATACAACCACAAACAGCAATTTGTTTCTGAGACACCACACAGATGAGTTCTTATGGGCCATCTTCCATGATTGTTCCATATCCCATTGGTTGAGTCCCCTGATTGATAAATTGTACATTAATGGAAATTTACCCTATATACACAAAACAAAAATTAAGTATTTCATAGAGGATACAGGCCAGAAATTTCTTTAAGTTAGTTCAACTTTACACACTCTAGTAGTCCTCCTTAGCTATGGTACTTGGGAAAAACCAAGATTTCACCAACCCTACCAAGTGCTGAGCACACTAGGTCTAGGGTGTTCCACCTGTATTAAAGGGAATAAGGTGAAAAGTTGAACCAGTTGACCCATTCAAGCTTGAGCACAAACAAAGGACTAATTATCTATTATATTGGAATTTGTTCAATAGGGAAAAATTTTCATCTAAGTATTTATGTGGTGCTTCACCGATATGATAGCAGCAGAATCTTTAGCGCCAACTAGGTCTCTCTCAGTCAACTCAGAGATTCAAACCACCCCCAGGATAAACGCGAAGCGGGTGACTCACACCGAAAGAGGTGACTAGGTCTCAGTCTCAGGCCTCCACACCAGGCTGCAGCGCATCCACAAGCTCTAAAGATCAGGGTTTATATCTGCAGATTGGTAGCTAAAATACGGTCTCCACTCCTGTCTCTGTGCGTCTCCTCCCGTTTTCCACAGTCAAGACAGTATTGTCACCTCTTCCTGTCCACACACCTGTCCTGTGCGTCTGCATGAAATCAAGGTCCAACGCTCTCAGGGAGGTGAATACCCAGAGTTCTTCCTGCTATGAGTTGGAAGTTAGACCAGTCCAACCTGTTCGTGGTAGCATGCCAAAGGCTTGGCATCAGAAAAGTCCACAGAATTAGGTAGAAATTTGATAAAATTCGCAGAGAGAAAAGTTGTTTTGTTCACCATTAGTGGTGATGACAGCCATTCATTCATGCATAATTATTATTTAATGTTTTTTCGTCAATCCCTTTTTCCTGTGTTGATTATGCTTACGTTGGTAGATTGTGAAATGTAAACAACTTTTAGGCAAGTATGTGGCCCTTTGCCCAGTAGAAACCAGAAGTAACATCAACAACATGCATGCCAGTCTTTCCTGGTTGAGGGTTGACGAGAGATTAACTGCTTCTCTTGTAGTTTTTACGAGAAGTATTAGTGTAATGAAAATTCCAGATTGTCTGCATAATCAAATAACATTCAGCACAGACACCCATACATACCCCACAAGACGTGCTACCAGAGGTCTGTTCACAGTCCCCAAGTCCAAAACGAATTCAGCGCCATGATCACATGGAACTCCCTTCCATGTCCAATTACTCAACCAAACAGCAAAATGACCTTTAAAAAATATGAAACATCTCATGGAATGGCAGAGACTGTGAGGGGACACACACAAACACACAGACTCACTCTAACACACATACATTTTTTTTGATGTATGGTTTGTATTATTATTATTAATATATATATATATATATATTACAATTATTGTTTGCATGTCATTTTATTTTAAATTTGTGTGACTGTCCTTGTCTATCAGTGTGTCAGTGTTTCGTTACTTGTCATGTTTTTGTGTTTTTTGTGGACCCCAGGAAGAATAGCTGCTGCCTCTGCAAAAGCTAATGGGGATCAAAATAAACAAACAAACCATTCCATAATGTTGTCTGAATATTGTCTGAAAGTTGTCTTAAAGTTGTTTAGTATTCTTTATATTTTGATTGTTAAAAAACATAATCCTCCATCTTAAAACAAACCATATGTCAAATGATTGGTGATTGATTGATTATTTATTTTATGGTCCTATATGTTTTACAGGAGCCCAGCCCATACAGTGCCTTGCAAAGTATTCATCCACCTTGGCGTTTTTCCTATTTTGTTGCATTACAACCTGTAATTTAAATGGATTTTTATTTGGATTTCATGTAATGAACATACACAAAATAGTCGAAATTGGTGAAGTGAAATGAAAAAAATAACTTGTTTCAAAAAATTCCACACAAAAAAATTACGGAAAAGTGGTGCGTGCATATGTATTCAACCCCTTTGCTCATGAAGCCCCTAAATAAGATCGGGTGCAACCAATTACCTTCAGAAGTCACATAATTAGTTAAATAAAGTCCACCTGTGTGCAATCTATGTGTCACATGATCTCAGTATATATACACCTGTTCTGAAAGGCCCCAGAGTCTGCAACACCACTAAGCAAGGGGCACCACCAAGCAAGCGACACCATGAAGACCAAGGAGCTCTCCAAACAGGTAAGGGACAAAGTTGTGGAGAAGTACAGATCAGGGTTGGGTTATAAAAAAATATCAGAAACTTTGAACATCCCACGGAGCACCACTAGTCCATTATTAAACATTGGAAAGAATATGGCCCCAAAACAAACCTGCCAAGAGTGGGCTGCCCACCAAAACTCACGGACCAGGCAAGGAGGGCATTAATCAGAGAGGCAACAAAGAGACCAAAGATAACCCTGAAGGAGCTGCAAAGCTCCACAGCGGAGATTGGAGTATCTGTCCATAGGACCACTTTAAGCCGTACACTCCACAGAGCTGGGCTTTACGGAAGAGTGGCCAGAAAAAAGCCATTGCTTAAAGAAAAAAATAAGCAAACACGTTTGGTGTTCGCCAAAAGCCATGTGGGAGACTCCCCAAACATATGGAAGAAGGTCCTCTAGTCAGATACGTTTAAATTGAGCTTTTTGGCCATCAGGGAAAATGCTATGTCTGGTGCAAACCCAACACCTCTCATCGGCAGGGACTGGGGAACTGGTCAGAATTGAAGGAATGATGGATAGCGCTAAATACAGGGAAATTCTTGAGGGATACCTGTTCAGTCTTCCAGAGATTTGAGACTGGGACGGAGGTTCACCTTCCAGCAGGACAATAACCCTAAGCATACTGCTAAAGCAACACTCGAGTGGTTTAAAGGGAAACATTTAAATGTCTTGAAATGGCCTAGTCAAAGCCCAGACCTCAATCCAATTGAGAATATGTGGTATGACTTAAAGATTCCTGTACACCAGCGGAACCCATCCAACTTGAAGGAGTTGGAGCAGTTTTGCCTTGAAGAATGGGCAAAAATCCCAGTGGCTAGATGTGCCAAGCTTATAGAGACATACCCCAAGAGACTTGCAGCTGTAATTGCTGCAAAAGGTGGCTCTACAAAGTATTGACTTTGGGGGGGTGATTAGTTATGCACGCTCAAGTTTTCTATTTTTTTGTCTTATTTCTTGTTTGAAACAGGTACAAAAGTATCTATATCCACAGTAAAACGAGTCCTCTATCAACATAACCTGAAAGGCCGCTCAGCAAGGAAGAAGGCATTGCAAAGATCATACTTTTTGGAGAAATGTCCTCTGGTCGGATGAAACAAAAATATAACTGTTTGGCTGTAATGACCATCGTTATGTTTGGAGGAAAAAGGGGGCAGCTTGCAAGCCGAAGAACACCATCCCAACCGTGAAGCACGGGGGTGGCAGCATCATGCTGTGGGGGTGATTTGCTGCAGGAGGGACTGGTGCACTTCACAAAATAGATGGCATCATGAGGAAGGAAAATTATGTGGATATATTGAAGCAACGAATATTTGCACCCTCCCATCTGAGCGCAAGCGTGCTGATGTTTGACAGGTAAATTGCCATACCTGGCGTTAAGGCTGGAAAATGCCTGTGCGCCAGTTTTTACATGAAGAAATTGCAAACTAACGTGCATTTGACACTTGCACCTCCTTAACGCCAGCTAAAAATAGATCCCCTTCTGTTCAACCCAGGGTGCTGACAGACATACAGACTGACTGACTGACAGACAGCAGGAGGGTGGCTTTGAGGTGAAAAAGATAAGGCGGTGTAGATATTGGACAACAACAACAATGGCATAATCTGAGTAGAACGTTTAAGCAGGGGACATATTTGTGTTGTGTCGGAACATATAGTAATGTATAGTATATGTAACCTTAGTGTCAGGTCTCTGGGTGTGGTTTGTCCCTGGTGCTGGGCTTTGGCGGAGGGTGATGATGGTGATGAGACTGTCTGTGTGACAGCTGTTGAAGACAATGTTTTAAATTTCCCTATTAGGAATTATAATTTATGAAAGAATTATACTTGGGGTTGTTTCTAGTTGGCCCGTGGACAGTTTTCTGATTTGATTGCAGCCAAACATGTAGATGAGAATAAAATATATTGGATTCTTTAAAGGGGATAAACTGCAGTTCAAACAATAACAAAGTGGACACCCTGCCACTGTTTTGGTAAAGAGCTGAGGGATTGGGCTGAAGAAATGTAACCACTCTCAAAATTATAGACAGCGCTATTGATGCAAGGAATGACCATCCATGAGATCAAAATGATTGTTTTAACCATGTTTTGAGGCTATACAGTGTTTGTTTACAATTACATTGTTTACAAACAATGGAGTAAAACAAGCTGGTATTTTGAGTTCTGAGGGGTTAGGACAGTTGAACTAAGATCATGAGGCATTTATAAGTTATATTCTTCAAGAATCATGGGTACACATGGGGTGGCAGGTAGCCTAATGGTTAGGAATGTTGGGTCAGTAACCAAAATGTTGCTCGTTCAATTCCTTGAGCAAGGCACTTCACTATATTTGCTCTTCTAAGTCGCTCTGGATAAGAGTGTCTGTTAAATCATTAAAACAAATGTAGTATACACAGATTGCACCTTTAAGGTTCGCTACCTCTGCTTTTGCTCAGATTGGGATTATTATGATTTTTTATTGGGAAATGTATACCTAATATTTCACACCACAATCAAATTTGTGAACATTGGTAATAAATGCTTAACTTAATACTAATAACACTGTTATTAGGCTACGGATAGGATGAGACCATGAGAGAAACTTAAGAACAAAGTGCCATAAGAGATGACAAAATTGAAAATAACTCCTCATATATATTATTCATGGTGTAAAGTCTATACCTTATTGATTAGATCAGTAGTTCCCAACCTTTTTCGGATGCTGTACCATCAACTGAATTTTGCTCTGCCCGGAGTTGCCCTGAAGTACCCCCTCATGAGCGTTTTACCAGTAAGCCTATGGTCTCCTGATTCATTTCAAGTATCCCCTGTGGATAGGCCAATTACCCCCAAGGGTCCTAGTACCCCTGGTTGGGAACCACTGGATTAGACCAAGATAACATTTATTTTCCCGGAATGTGTATCTCATAAATCATATTTTGTGCTACTTTTGTAAACGTGAACAGTGAATGTGAAGTAATAATAGAATCAAGACAATAGGATTCCTGGATAATATCACATTAAGTACTGCTGTTTTTAGTTGAAGTCAGTTGGACCAGTACAAAAATGTCAGTCACTACCTTGTCAGTGACACAGAGGAGATGTAGCAATTATCCCACTATGTCACATTGACAGGACTAAACAAGCATTTCCTCTCACTGTTTTAAGCCTCTGGTGATTGTCTCGCAGAATCTTTGACTTTCAGTAATGATTTGAATCTGACCTGTCCTCTTGTATTTCTGACAGCTTAAATCACCACTGCATGCTGAACCTGGTTGTTATCCATATCCATCTACAGAATTCTTTTTTTTTTAACTTCCCATGGGTAACATTTATTTGATTTGATACGTCTGCATGTTCTATCAAATATCTTACTGGAAATAATTTCTATTGAATGACCTCTGGTAACCGTAATCATGTAATGTACAGGCAGCATGTGGTATGTTGTGTGAGAGTTGGGTTGGGTGACAGTTGGGAGAAATACAAAAGCTATTTCCCCATATTTG